AAAAAAAAAAAAAAAAAAAAAAAGAGGGTTCAGCAAGGTTGAAGCATAAAGGGTTAATAGAATCATTTATTAATTGTATTTCTGTACATCTGCAAGACACAATCTGAACATGAAATTAGAAAAACAAAAATTTGTTGGGCAATAAGAGCAAAACTTCGTCTCAAAAATAAAAAACAAAAAAAGAATAGTAATCTACAGTGTCACTTGCCATCCAAGCTTGACTTCTACCTTTACTTTCTGATATGGTTTGGCCGTGTTGCCACCCAAATCTCAGCATGAATTATAATCCCCATAATCCTCATGTGTCCAGGGAGGGGCCTGGGGGGAGGTGACTGGATCATGGGGACAGTTTTCCTCATGCTGTTCTTGTGGTATTCAGTGAGTCCTCACGAGATCTTACAGGATTTTGTTTTGTTTTGTTTTGTTTTTTGGGATTGAGTCTTGCTCTCTCGCCCAGGCTGGAGTGCCATGGTGCCATCTTGGCTCACTGCAGCCTCTGCCTCCTGGATTCCAGCGATTCTCCTGCTTTTGGCCTTCTGAGTAACTGGGATTACAGGCATGCACCAGCACACTCAGCTAATTTTTGTATTTTTAGTAAGAGATGGGATTTCACTACGTTAGCTAGGCTGGTCTCGAACTCCTGACCTCAGTCAATCCACCCACCTTGGCCTCCCAAAGTGCTAGGGTGGGTGTGAGCCACTGTATCCAGCTGAGATCTGATGGTTTTATACATGTTTGACAGTTGCTCCTTCACATGCTCATACTCTCTGTGCGGCCACCATGTTAGTTGGACCTGGTTCTCCTTCTGCCATTATTATAAATTTCCTGAGGCCTCCCCAGCCATGTGAAACTGTGAGTCAATCAAACCTCTTTCCTTTATAAATTGCCCAGCCTCAGGTATTTCTTTATATCAGTGTGAAAACAGACTGATATAATTTCTGATAATCATACTTGAAGAACTGGAGGATTCAGACTACCTGGGATCAAATTGTGGCCCCACCCTTAGCAGTCATGTGAGGTTACTTGAGGAGGTTACTTACCTTCTCCATCTCAAATTTTTCTGTAAAATCTGTAAAATGAGATTGTTTCTGAGGGTTAAGTGAGCATAACTGTGGGGACACTGTCAAGCACACACTACTTGCCAGATGTCGAGTATTATCTTTATTGAATTAGGATGGTGGTAACCCACTTTATGGCTCTCAATTTTGTATGACAAAATCATGCATAGTGCTTTGTTAGTAGAAGAAAGAAAATCTGAACGTCTCTGCCATGGAAGAAAGAAATAGCGGGGAGAAAAGGGAGTTGGTAAGTTTCAGCATTTCAGAGCTTGGAGGGACAAGTTAGGTTTCTATTTTTATGGAGAAGGAGGTGGAGGCAGGATGGGTCCTAAGGTGTCATTCAAGACACACAGCCGTAACTCTTTACTGAGAATACAGCTAGGGCCCCAGGGATTGCTGTGGTCAATTTGCAGACAAAAACGACCACTCATTGGAAGACAGGAGAGGAGTGTTTAGTTACAAAAGCAGTCAGCCATTCAGGTATATCTACATTCAGTCAGTAAATAGAAGTTGTTCAACTTGGTTGCTAACGCGATCCACTCTACTGAGGCTTTGTGTAGAACTCATAGAGGAAGATGGCTTCAAGCAACGAACTATCCTGTGCTTTTCTTAGGACTAAAAAGCTCAGGAAGCTGGTGATGGATGAAAACCTTAGTCCCACTGGCACTGCACGAGGGGCCAGGAGAGCAGCAGCATCATAAGCCACAGGGTGGGGCAGCCCAGGCAGGGGCATTCTGAGCTGTTGGGGAGGGGTGGCAGCCAGGGTGGGACACTGTGAACTGTCGGGGAGGGCATTGTGAAGTGTGGGGTGGGGCATTGTGTGCCACATGCCTGTGCTCCCACCTGGGCCAGTGGGCTTCAGTCTGTAGGTGACTACAGGAGGAGAAGGAGCTCCCTCTGTTCTCTCTTCAGGC